ACGAGCCGGCCAGGTCAGTTATTACCTACCATGAGATTGGGGAGAATTTAATTTGCCTTCTCAGCAGCCTTAACAGGGTCTAAAGGTACGTTCATTCTGGGGGCAGGAACTGCCGAGTGGAGATTTGTTGACCATTAATTGTCTAGGCATTGGAACAATAATCTAAAACAGATGTTTACAATTTAAAAGGATCATTGCACCCCACTTGCAGAGCGTTCAAATTGAACCCCCACCTCTCCCCTACATAGCGCAATTCAATCACTATTTATTTACGTTTTTGGAAAGGGGATCTCCCGAAACATACCTCTTCCAGATGGTTCACGACGGTATCGTTTCAGCTGTTGGTATCTTGTCTTTAGGACACAGGGATGAGGTGAAGGCAAACACAGACAATATTCTCAATTATCCTTTTGTAGAGAATGCCGAGAATCTCCGACGGTATATAAGACTGGCGTGAGTTCGACTGCACTTGCTTTAAGGTAGTGCCAAACGCTAAATATGCAAAGGCTAACGTGGCTTTGGGAGGTACTCTCCTTTTTCCACATATGAACCTTTTCAACGGTGCGGCGTAAGTCTATGCCTGGATTGTGGCCTGGCACGCCTTGGCGAAATCGCAGGAATTTTACCGAGCATCCTTATTAAAAGGATTCAATAGCTTAATTGCATAAAACTTCACTTTGTATTATCCTATTTCATGTCTTATTGGATCCGCAATTTGCCCATCATGCCTAAAAGAGCATTTAAGGAATAGCGGATTTCTGAGATGCCAGTCGAGAGGGATCTAAGAGGTAGTGTTGTTGAGGTTACAACGGGGTTCATTGGAAATGCCAAAGGTAACGGTGTCACCTATAGAACTGGCTTGTCACTCGACAGCCTCGTTTATGGGTAGGGTGGGAAGTATGAGAATCAACAGAACGTTTTCTTCCTTTTTATCCTGCTCTTTTCATCTCTAACTAAAGTTCAATCCCATTCAGTCTTAGCTCCACCAGAAAACAATCACGCAACAGCAATCATTTTGGAAGGGAACTGCAGAAATGGAGACTGCATAAATTGCTGCGAGTCTATGTAAACCAAGTGGGATGGGGAGGCGGAAGCCGAGGCAGATTCAAGGGTTCATCATGCTGAAGCACGACGCAAAGTTTGTTAGTTTGACGGCAGAGCGTTCTTGATGCCTTGTGCCTGCAGTTTCGACTGCATGCGCTGGCTTGAATGGACGAGTTTGAAGTCCAAGAGCCTCTTTGAAGATGAGCTTTAGAGGACACCTTTGTGCAAATGCAGTAGAATTCGTACATACTTCCTCTCTCTCTCTCTCTCATTAAAGTGTAAAATTTTAGCAACCATCAAAAAGGCTCCCTGTGATGGCCACTTCTTCATTTCTGGAACTTTGGTTGAAGGCGATGCCGAAGATAGCGGTGAGGTCTTTTAGAGTCGAGGGCAAATCAAGGAGGCCACTATCATTCGAATTACATACGATCCTTGATTTTGCTGGACTCCCACCCAGATGAAAAGTTTGAATTGGAGTTTCAGCACACCTCGAAGGTCTGGGACTCGAATAAGCAAAGAATTACACTTATAGTGCGCCTTGTAGGACAGGGACGAGGAATCAATTTTAATGGTAAAATTAAACAGCCTTCATATTTCTTCCACTCTTCACCTTTCACCAAATTTTGCCTCGCAGAGAGGACAGATATTTAAGACCAGTTGTACCATACCTATTTGACCGTCCTGCACGAAGAGCTCATCTTCTCGGCTTTGGGGTTATCGTGGGATGACGGAGTCCTTCCATTATCAGGATCGGCATTAGATGCACTTCTATATCTCCTGAGAAAAGTCTGTGGATCAAGGCATTCGCAAGGCCGTTCTTACAATGGAAATCCTTTTTATGATTATTTTTGCTTGACTTGTGCAGTGAGATCGTGATCTTTGCAAAAGTAAACTTCGAGGTTATCTTTGGCTAATTGGCTTTGGTCGTGTATTGTCCCGGGACTTCCCAACAAGCATAAGAAGGAAATACGTTGTTCAGTATACGTGTATATTAAGAGAAGAAAAAGGGTAAGTTCTCAGCGTGGCTCGAGGGCCAGTCCATTCGTGCAAGGGCAAAAGCAGTGCTTAAATAGAGGTCAGATATCTGTTATTCACATCAGTAAAGTGCTAAGGTCCATGTTTGCATTTGCTCCCTAGGGTTCTCCATGATGACGCAGAAAGGTGATAGAACCTTTCAGAGAACATCACTTCCTTGAACTCCACTTTATCCCCGTTTCTCGAAAGCGATCCACTACGAAGAGAATGTGCTTAAGGCCGATAGTGCGGTGCTCCTGAAGGACACCACGCAATGTAGTGCTCATACATCATTGCTCAATGCAAATTACATTGCCTGTAAGTCCTAAGGTCATTCCGTTCACATGAAACCCTTTTGTCACTAGTCCTTTCTGCTATTTCTACTTGAAAGCATTTGGATTTTAGTTCCCATTTCAATGCGTACTAGTACTATGAAATTCCTTCACTTGTGTAATCTATGGGTAATCAAATTATGAAAAGTCTCGGGATGCTATGGATTTTTGGAAGCCACTGGACGTTTCGCTTTTAAATGATTTGATTCGAATGAATTAATATTGTTTTTGAATAGAGATACGAACAGTTTATTGATTGCTGGAATGTTAGCAAGTGCGAGACAAATCATACAGTGACTGCAGACCTTAAGTATGGACTGAACCCTAAGCTATCGAATATTTTTTTGTCCATCACACCGCTACCCCGATTCAATACCATGGACTTTTTTGTTATCACCAAGCATCAGTCAGCCAAACAAAACTTTATCTAGTTTGCTACACAATCATGTGCTTACAATTTAGGAATACTGTTTTTGTTTAAAGCATTCCATAATTCACATTTGTCAGAAAGGTGGCATATTCCAACTCTGTGGCAGTTTTGACTAGTCTGCTTTGGTTTGTTGTTGTTCTGTCCACTTGGTGCCTCGGGTTAAACTGGCCTGAATATTAGAACTGTACATACTTTGATGGCATTCTCTTTGTCTCTTTTGGGACGACTGGGAACTTTATGTCTAGTGCTATCTCTGCGGTTTTGTTTTTGACATTAGCCCGTTAACCTCTTTAACTTTAGTCACTGATGCCATCCCATAAAAAGGATCTACGAGTTCATGGTGGTCTGCGTTTTGGTGGCTCCCATAAAGTGAGTTGCATCTTGGTGCATATGTGACTATTGGATGTGTCTCAGTGATGAAATCTGAAAATTTGTCGTATGTTTTCATAAACCCGTGTCTACACTTAGCCTTAAAACAAATATATAGAGTCATATGTGGTTTCGGTAATTCACAAATTTTGTTGATGTTTTGAAAAGTAACCGTAGCCAGTCTAGTAACGCACTTCTCAGAGCCTTTTTTCTCGAACTGTTTGTAATCTTGTCACCTCTGGTCCATATCTGCTGAAAGTTGCACATTATCGTCACATTTACCACCAAGGTAGTGACATTAATCGTTGATGCGTATCGGAATCCATTTATTGCGATGCAAGAGTACTAGAATGCTATGACAGCGCGAATCCCAAACTTCGTTTTGTATGCTTTTTTTCACTTGGAATGCCGCTTGTTTCTTGTTCCCTGTACGTCATACCCTAAGGGTTCTTTTGTTCTCAGGCCAGCGTAACCACACCCAAGCCCTTCAGTTTCGCCTCGAAGGATATAGATCTCCAAAAGTCCCGTCTTCAACGGCAATCTGCTGCCTACGAAGAGTCTCGCCGTCTTGCGAACTCATTCCGTGCGCAGCCGATGCCACTCCCCAGTGTTCCAATCTTCCCTGAACCACCCCCCACAAACCTCACTTCTCCTCATTCCCCACCCTTGAGGACGCGCCAACGAGCAGCACGACGTGCTAGTTTTGACGCTCATGTTGAAGCTCGAAGAGCTTCAGCCCAGCGCCAACTTGAGGAACTTGAAAAGGAGAAAGCAAAGGAAGAAGCCAGGCAACTAGCGAAGGAGAGAAAAGCGCGAGTGGTGCGAGCAGCACCAGTGAGGAGGTACCGCCTTGTGACTCCTTCTGTTACTCCAAGGCCCGTGACAAGGTCGATGTCGTTTACCTTTGCCACAGAAGCGAGGGTAGAAGCTAGAAAAAGACTGTTGACGGCTGATAGGAAAGCGTTATAATGTTTCTTTGATTGACTTTACTGTCTTGACATCTGCTAAATTCTCCCTCATCAGACCCTTCCGTTTCCCAACAGGATGCATATAGTGCAATTTTGAATATGTAACTTTATTAGTAATATTGCTGTGCTATTCATGTTTGTAGTTTGAATGTGAGTCACACTGAAGCAATTTATGGGTTGCTATTTTTGTGTAGTTGTTGGCGACCGCTGGGCGCTATTCGTTGACTGCTGTCAAGCTGGTGGAATAGGGTTGCAGAATATGTTACATGAGGCCCCCATGAGGGAAGGGGGGAGTGGTGAGTGGCTTCGGCAAAGCTGTAAAACTTCAGTTTGTCGAGTAATGCATATCGGCCGCATTGATCCGAGTCCAAATATTGTTGATGGGTACATTTGTTGTGATGGCCGACTCTGATACCACGTCGATGCTGGGTTAGCAATCACTGGAACATTTTCGCAACCCGTTCAGGTGGAATCGTTTTTAGGAACGTTTAAACACCAGGTTGACCTTCAAGCCTCCGTGACTGAGAGTCTGGGGGAATAACCCGTCTCAATAGATGGGTTCCTTCACTTCGTCGGCTATTCAGATTTGGTTAACGACTTGTTTTGCATAGTTCAGCTTCAAAGGATCAATGGCCAGTCCGGCTGATGAGATTGCATGCTTCCACGCGTAGCATCTCGCTTCTCCCACTACCCTTTCATTTGACGTTCTATGGCACATGGAAATGTATATAATAAAGTTGTCAAGTTTCACCTGAGTAAGTAATGATACTGTGATAGTATTTCAATTGTTGTTCGCATCTAGCATCCCTATTCAGGGGCATTAAACATAACATCAAAATGCTAGGTAAGACTAACCTATCCTTCTAATGTATGATGTTGAGTGCCTCCAAACATCGTATGTCACCTACTGATCGGCAATTATGACTGCGGTGCTGTAAGATCTAACAGGTCGTAATTAGCAAAAGGTGGATGAAGACGAAAAGCACCTTTAAAAGTACAGTTTTTGGGTTTCATAGATTTAGCGCTGCGGCGCTCTCCCTACGTGTGACTATCTGCATGAGTGGCGGTCATTATCGGTGGCTATCTTGCTTTTGCTTATGTTCGAGCCAAGCAATAGCCTGGCTTATGCACTTTATCTGAATATGAACATTCCGATATGCCCAAACAAGTGTCAGGACGTTACTCTGGTGGCAGAGGATAGTAAACCTGATTATAATACAATTATAATACTGGTTTCCACTGTCCGCGACAGCTCCTAATGATGCGAGGGCAGTATATATGCGGAGGTGGATGGTCGAATTCCAAACTACTTTATCATGGAAGGAATGAGGACGGAATCCACATTAGACATCCTATCCATTCCCGTGATCCATCGGCAAGCTACTAAAGAATTAAAGCGTGGCTTCCAGTAACCATCCAAGAAGGTTCCGGTATGGAGTGACTCTTACAATATATGCGAAAAAATTTTATGCATGACATTACGCTGAACCCCCTTCCATACATGAATTTGTTCGATCTTGTTTTCGTTGCCACACATTCTGTATCCGACAATTGCTCGATGTCCTATTAAAATAAATCAAAGAGCTTCGCATCTTATTACTGCTGCAGGCCGAACAATTCTTCAGATCCAGCCGAAGCCGCATAGAGGGTAAAAGCATTAACGCACACACACGGCAACTGACGGTTAACGCAACTGGGACGTGGCTGCATTGGACCTGAGCCAAATTAGTAGTGATGACTGAGTAGGGGTAGAAACATAAGATGTGAGGGGACACCGTTTGAAGAGGAGGATGGGCATCGTAATGCCATTCATAAGCTCTATTCTTAATTGATTGACAGGCAGTTCAGTGATTATTATGCTTTTACCACTTAGGTTAACCTTTGCTTCTAAAAGAAGCATTCTAAAATCTAAATTGCGAGCTACGTCCAGGATTTTTTTACCAATCCAAAGTCGCGTGTGGTTACAGAATAAGAGTGCAGTAACTCCATTATATGCATGCCTAAAACACATGTATCTATTAAAATTGATAACCGCATGCCTAATTTTTAACAATTTTGGTTTTTATTTGTTTGTAACCTAGCATTACGTTTTTAAAATTTCTTTACACTTCAATGAGCAAGAAAATCAGCGCGGGCATTCCCAGTTCGTGGGTGTGTGTACAGAAGCAGAAAACGTGATGGTTGGAATCCAAAAGGCGCGCAGACTGCTGCCGTACATCAAGTATTTCCGCACTCCTCTTGCACTTAATGACCTTAATATTGACCGCTCCTTCCTGCAACAAATAGATTTGAAACCTGTTAAAAGCATTGAATTCTCATTCAGCCCGTTTTTCTCCCACACGTATTCGATCCGGTAAATCTGCTAGCTCAATTTTCATATTTTAAGGCATGTCTGCTCTCTTCTATATAGTCCACGGTGGCGCAGCTCCAACGAAAATTGTTCTTTGAAAGTTAACGTGCTCAGTGACAAGTCACAACCCCAAGTGCGGGTCAATTTTCGTAATCCTACTTTGATTTTTTGACTAAGCGCCATAGACAACGGCTCTGTTTTGCTTATTAAAACAGCGAATCTCACGGACCGTGAAGTTTTAGAATGCATCATGAATGAATGTTCAAGGAACTTGCAAAGCTGACTTTGGTGTTTGTTCGAATAAATCGTTTTAGTAAACCTTCATCGTTTTCTTGAACTATTCTTGCATAGCAGATAAACCTGCTGCCTTATTCGCATACAGATGGAGGACTGCGATTCGGGAAGTGGAAGTAGTGGAAGTGAAATTGAGGTGGATGAGGGCGTTGTGGAAGAATATTGCTGTCTTCTTTGTGACCACAAAACAACCGCGGTCTCAGAATTTTTCCAACATTTAGAGGAGATTCATCACTGGGACTTGCGGCAAGAAGGGAAACTCTTTGCTGATCAGTACACTTGGATCTCCTTCGTTAATTGGACACGTATAAATAAACCTCCGCATTGGAAGGATTTCCTTGCCTTTAATGAGGAAGACCGGCAGACATACTTACAGCCTTTTATTCAAGATGATGCTGTGTTGATGATTGGTTTGTACCAACTCAATTTTAAAAAACTGACGCGTTGTAGATGTAGAGTCTTTTTTTGGAGGTCCCGGGGATGCTTCAGACGATGGTCAACGGACTATTGAAGATCTGCGACAAAGGAATGAGGAACTTTGTTTTCAGCTTTCAAAATGCAGGTGTATCTTTCATATTTGAGTCCTAATGAGTAGACAAATACTTGGGGAACTTATGGAACGACCTAATTTAGAGTATGCTCAAGCGTTTCTTGAACCACCGAACGCTCATATCGGCTATGGCCTAGGCAAGCCCCTTTTCTGTGTCGCCTCGAGGTCTATTCGTTTCTTTCGTATGCTCGATTTTTTGCGATTAACTTCCTTTCCTTAATAGTTGACAAGTCAGTATTAAACATCTTCAGAAACTTTATAAAGCAGGGCCGTGAAGGCCTTATTACAGGCAAAGTTGTCCTCAATCTCTTTGAAGATGCTGGAATGATATCACTCTTTTTGGCCAAAGCCGACGCCAAGCGTGTTTTTATCCCAGCATCACCTTTCGTCGAATCTGTTAAAGCTCTCGCCAAGTGAGGTTCCGATCTACAGTGTGCTGCTTATCTATGTCTTGCAAATAAGATCTTTTTGTTCTGCAGATGCAACAACTGTGAGGAAAAGATTGAGGTGGTGTCCAGTCTCGCCGCACTTCCGGTGAATCGAATTGATATTCTATTCTGGGATTGGTTGGATGTCTTCTTCCTCAACTGCGACCAATCAGACCTATTCTCTCTTATCCAATCAAAGGTCAACAGAGTGTATCCCCGTGCCTTGAGTGTTGATGTTATTGGAGTTACCACAAAGCAAGAGGTCCTTAAATGCCTCGTCCCTTCATGCAGTTTTGAGGACTTGAACACAGCCCCTCTCGTTGTTGCTGCCTACGAAAAAGTCTACCAATATGATTGGAATAGCGACTTGGTTATGCCTGTTACCAATGCCCAAGCCATTGTCACTGTAGATATCCAGAATACATTGAGTTTTCGGTTTGATGAAAAGAACTTCCAGCTCACGTTTAACACAGCTGCAAAGATGAATGGATTGTTGATCTACCTGCGATGTGAAATTGACGGAAACGAGTGGTCATTCTCAACCAAGGATTCCGGATCGTATGGACAATCGTTAATTCTCTTGAGACACCCTGTTGACGGTCTGCCGGGTCAAGTTATTAACGGGTCAGTTGCGAGAAAAGTGTCTGGAATGCTGTCTGTCAGCCTTCAAGGTCCAGATTCCTCAAACCTAATCAGTGCGGACTTTAATTTATCTTCTCCAATGGCTCTGTAACATTCATTCCCTGTAAATGTATTCTGCATTTCGGAAACTCCTTCCTTCTCTGAGAAGTATTCTGTCTGTTGACAAGTTGTAGCTGAAAGGGGTTTGTGTCTATTTTGATAGGAGGCTCGTGATTTCCTGGCGGATGACTTTGATCACAAGGCATTGATAAATCGGACGTTGCAGTCAGTTTCAAGTGAACCGAACACTGAGGCTGCAATATCATCAATTCTCCTCAATGTACAAAGGATGCTAGAGGCATGGGGCTTTTTATATCCTCATGCATTCTCCTCTCCACGTCTTAATTGCCTTCAAGAATGTTTTTTTGGCAAAATTTCGTGTTTCAAATGTTTGTGAATGTTCAAAACAGTTTTCGTGCTTTGTTTAGACGGCAAACCAAGAGGTAGAGTCTACATTTCATGAGGTGGCTCAGGCTATGCCTAGGTGGGTTTAAATCATCTTGCATATTTTTGTTGGTAAGTCGGTCATTCGCATTTATTTGCGAGTTCGCATCGAATCTAATGTTTCATTCAAAGGGCAGGAGTACGTTGTTGTCCAACTCTACTCCCGTTTTTTGTGTTTCATCTCGTGCCCACGAAACCCCAGATCTTGCCTTTATCTCGGTCTTTCTATCTTTGATCGGTGCGAACTTTGATTTTCTGTTCGACTGTAGTTCTAGTCCATGTTTTGTTTCATTCATCGCATTTCAGATGCGCCTTGTCATGCAGTTATGCGTTCATTTATTTGTGTTGCTAATCCAATCCTCTTGTTCCACACAATCAGGTGTATTTAATGAATCCTTTAGTGTCCTCCAGACCTCACGGCAATATGACCCTACCCTACGTAGTATTTAACTTGCGAACCGTCGTCTTCCACTAAAAGCACCTCTTACCACTCACCGATACCTCCAGCCTTATTATTATGGTCCTATCTTTTTAATATCCTGCCGTCTTATTCAAAAGGATCCTACGGAATATAGAATCGGTCAATCAACAGGCCATTCTTCTCAGGGATCATATGGACAGCGTCGAAAAGGACTTTCGAAAAGTGTGTCCAGTTCACCAACTGAGCAGTTTAATTCACTGAAACGCATTTAATTTTTTTTACACACAGATGCATATAGATGATAGCGATGTGATTCGAGAGTTGGAGCGACTTGATTGCCAGCGTCAACGGGCCAAAAAAGCAGCTGATGCATTACGTGAGGCAAATAGATGGTCAATGCTGGTTAATTCAAGACAAGCTCTAATGGAAGGTGACGCAAACGTCGATCAACTGTACCAACTCATTCTCGATATGGACCAGAGTTTGGTCGGTTAAAAAGTAACAAGAGAACTTCTCTGCTAAGGTTAGGCAATAAAAGGTTTTTTTTCTGTCGTCCAGATTTACTTGGAGCAGATGCCGGATTATGCCGATCGAAAAGCTCTCCTGAATGCCACTAAAGATCGACTAGAGGCCTTGATTGCACCACAATTCATGGAACTCCTGGATGCTATCACACAGTCTGCTGATTCACGATTGCTGGAACAGTTGCAGCATATGATAACGATTTTTGGTGGTTTGAATAGATCCTCCGTCGCTGTGCGGTATTACGTCACTTGGCTCGAAGTGCGATTTCACCTGATTGTTAGCTTGAGCTAATTTTGCTTTACTTAAAGCATTTCTTCCTTATAGAATCGCTTAAAGGAAAATTGGGACCGTTCAACTTATATTACAATGGATAAAAGTCCTTTCGCGGATCAAAGCGTTGGTCGCGTTCATTGCCACTTTCGTGACACCATCACATTCCTCAGTAGTCAAGTTCGTTGGAGAATACAGTTTTACTTAAGCTTTGCAAGTAGTAATTTTATTTTGGGTTCGTTGCTGTAGCTGGAGCTTCGGCTTTTCGGGGATGAATCGAGAGTGCCACTGTTACGAGCTTTGGCCAACTCCATGGAAACTGTATCCCCACAAGTTTCCCAATTCCTCATGGAACAGCGTGACTCTTCAAATAGTAGTCTTAATCGGTGTTCTGACATGCTGAAGGTATCTGTCTAGGTGTTTAAGTGTTTATTGTGGTTGTGGTTGTTGAAGGCTTTTTTCTCTCTCTTCATATCTGATGTCTTACTTTACCTCTAGGTCTCTGAAGACTTCGCAGACCAGCTTTGTCACCTTTTAAAGCCTCATGGTTAGTAACTTTACGGCACGAAAGTTCCCTCCCTGGTGTTTGGATGACATTGCCTTCTTCCATTTTTAGATGACACCAAATTGGGGCTCTGTTTTGACGTTGTTCGAAAATTGTGCTCGCCTTTTTCGGTCATCAGTGCACTCTTCAAATGCCACGCACGTGAAAATTTGCAAGAAATATGCCACATCATCAAGCCATCAGTAATGACCTTTTCACCTCTATTCTCTTTCCCTCCCTACTCTCCCTTCTTTGAAATTATAGGTCTTTTCATGCTCTATTGCGGCGATCAAATTCATTTGGATCATGTTCATTTTGACTGATATTACTCCTTTTTACTTTCCCTCTTCTAAGGTTTAAAATAGTGCCATCTTAAGTGTCTACTTATTAGTATCGGTCTCAGTCCATACGATGTCAATTGACTTGCTACTAGGTAGGCTCTGTTTACCTCTGGAGGTTGTCTATCCGCTCCTGGAACCATTTCTTAGACGATTGCTCTACTTACATAACTTTGCCAAGTTTCCTCTTTTGGCCTCTTAGGCAGTCCTTTTCCCACTTTAGTACACAGATGAGTCAGCCATCCTTGATGACTTTCAAACAACCTCTGACCAGCTTTACGAGTGTCTCGTTGACCTCTTGTCGTGTGCAATTTCCCAGACTAAAGGAATCGGGCTCTCAAGTCTACTGGATGCAGTTCACGTAAAACTGCCTTAAATATTAATAGTGGAATGTTTTTTTTCGCTTCCTTTTCTAGCTCAATCATCGACATTGTTTCTTCCGAAGTTTATTTGAATGATTTTTTCGTGGATGGGGCTCGTTATAATTGATATTTTTTTACGGTTTGGATCATATATTGGTTCATGAAAACATTTACTTAAACAATTGCAGTAAAATTTTAGGAGACCACAAAATTGTTGGTGGAACAGTGGCAAGATGCGTTGGAATCATTTGCCAACAGCCTCATTGAGCAGGACAGGGCAATGCACTACAAGCAGGCTGACGGGATGAAAACTGTACTCCTCCTCGTTTCTGCTACCGGTATATTACTAACTTTTATTTCAATGGGGCTTGTCACAGGAAAGATTTTAAATGAATATCAAACGTGCTGCTTTTTGAACAAGAACTAGAAGCTGATGGGATACTAATCGTCCTAGTTTTATGAGTGTTGCCCGGGATAAAGAGCAAATTTGGATTAGTGGACTTTCTAAACGTAGTTGTACCGTGCTGGCTCACAGCTTTGCTTTTACTTGTCTCAACGAAGGCGCATTGGCCATGAAGATTGGGGACTTCGTGATGTCGTTTGATGATCATCTTCAGAGGCTTTTTTCCCAGGAAGGAAGGTGGGTAAATCTTTCACCTAGTCGTTGATACATTTTGCAAGCTCTCCCCATAATTCCCAAGCAATGAGCAAAGGTGTAATTACCTGAAAATTTATATGGAATTTTTCTTCCGTTTTGACAACTATTATTCTTGTTCTCGTACTCTGTTCCAACCTTTTTTTCTCGACCCTAATTTTTGGTTCAGCCATGGCAATAATTAACACTCATGAAGGTAGAAATAGCATGTACCTTACTTCTAAGATCCCTCTTATTTAATTTACAATTCGATGCAAAATTTGGTTTTCACTGTCTGACTTCAGCAAAACCCTTGACTGTGCCAGCCGTGTCTGCCCGTTTCATTCTCTACTTCTACCCCTGATTGGTGAATCCCAACCTTGTGCCAATTGGTCCTTTCTCCTGTCTTTTGCGCCACAATCTGATTTGCTCAAATCCCCTGTCGATGATTCCTCCAATCCTATCATGCCAACCAGTGTCCTCACCACTCGATTGGCTGATCTCTGCAAGGCTTCGGTTACCATTGCAGAACGTGTTGCACTGACACCCGTCGATGATATTTTGGCAGTGGTGCCCAAAATGACACTCTGGGCGTCGCATCCGGCTGGCGGTGATGCAAAGCTACCCGACTTGGCCTATTTGCCACAGGAGTACATAACGCAGGTGAAATATTTGCGTAGAAAGGGTCTTCCATTGACCAGTCGCTTCTAAAATCATTTAGGACTTCTGGATCTCCACATACGCCGCCGTTAACATTGTTTTTCAAGTTTAAATAAATTCTAAACGATGCACAGGAAAACATTTGCTCACATCCCACATACCAGGCAAAACTGGGGTCTTGGAAAATAAGTCATTCATTTTCTCAAAAATGATGTTTCAAAATTTATGTTGAATAGCTTCATTGATTCTATTCTGAAATTGGGACTCCGTATATGCTATCTATACTCGTTTCTACTTAGCTCGTTCGACAATCTTTGGTTTCAGGCACTACTGGTTTTATGCATTACCAAGTTGGTGTACTCAGACCTGCCTCATCTACCTCTGTCTTATAGACTAACGCTGACATCCCATAACAAATCTATGGTCTCTTACAGCTCGGACAGTACATTTTCAACCTTCCTGAGCATCTCCTTCCCTTCATGGACACGAACGAGGATGCTAATTCAACCAGCCTAGAACAGAGTGCCGCACTAGTCCACTGTCTTCGCTTAACTGATTCTCGCACGTGTCAAGTTCAGTCCAATGCTGTGGCTGCCGGTAGCCGGTCTCGTTTGAGCTCTAGTGCAGAAGCAGTTTCGTCGTCTTCCACCATAACGGCATGGCTTGATTGGCTGCTAAGTGGGCAAGTAGCTGAAGCGTTTGTTAAAGCCATTTTGGCGATCCCTTCTCCAGCGCCAGTCCCAAGCAATGTGGACAAACCGCCTCCAGGGCTAACTGCCCATGGGGCGAAACAGTTGCTGACGGATCTAGGTTAGTAGTGCCTAAAATCTTGTTCTTGTAGAAAGTGGAACGTCATTAAACAGTAAAGTTATATTGATTTTAGACTATTTCCTGGGTCTTTTGGAAGAACTGGGATTACCACGACCAGTAGATTTGGTGTCCCTTCGTGACCTTATAAACGCTTCGCCGGAAGAGTTTAAGAAGGTTTCAGCGGACAAGTCACCGCGAGTGGTAGGAGGGGTGATAAACCTTCGAATGCTGTGATCCGTTCCAGTAAATTTTCTTCGTAAATTTGTTGGCTTGCCATTACAAATAATATATCATTTTCTATATTTGTCTATCGGTGTCACTTCAGTCACTTGCTTGGCTACGTTACTTTCGCTGTAGGGGCTGACAGTACAAAAGTAAGGTAAACACGGACTCGTTTCCCTTTTTGCTGATTCTGTTTTTTTTGAGTCATGTTATTGGCTGGCAACTGCGTTTTTTTACCTCTAAGCCGTTGCTTCGGACTCTTTTCCACTTACAGTAGGCAGAGCCCAATAAAGTGAAGCACAATATCATTCAATTGAACAGCCTGCTTTTTGGAGTCAGTTACACAAACACCAGGGGAGAATGTCGAATGTCTCCAGTGCAGTGAGAGTACGCGTTGTAACTGTTGGAACAGCATACCTAACCTCATGCTCCTAAACCTAGGACTTTAAGAGAGGGTTAGTTGCAATGTATTTATTAGGCATTGAATGCAGGAAGAAAGAGGATAGGAATTCAGATGATCCGAATAGCGGGTACCACCCAGAAGCGAATCCCCCACACGCCGAACTCGCGTTCGAATTCATTCCCGCCTCCCCCAATGCGGATCTACTTAAACACTCGAGCATATATTGTAACAACTCAACAAATAATGCGTAATCAGGCTAAACATAAACAAGCTAGAAACACTGACTAACGACTATGTGAACTTATGCAATACTACCAGAATGGGACAGAAAAATTGCAAATTTTGACAGCGCGATGCATTATATAGAAAGCAGAGAAAATAAGACAGTGAACAATCGAACAAAATGCGTTAGAAAACGCTATAGTTCATGGAAAATAAATAAAACTTAAATACTGTTTTCATTTGTGACATAGCCTTTAAATTAATCACGCAATATTTATAAACTGTGTCGCATTATTTTAAAACACCCTAAATGGGTTGAAGTAGAAGTTCCCAGACAAATGAGAGCATATTTCAGCTTTTTGATTCCTATATTATGCATTCACTTTGGTAAGAATTATGGTCGTAACATTTTCAGGTCTCTGCATGGAATGCTATGTATGCCATAACCAGGAAGGTAACAAGGACAAATGTGTTAAAACTTCAATGCAGTGCTTGCAAGACGAAGACACCTGCTTGACGAACATATCATATACTGGTATTAATTAGAATTGAATATGTGATTCTCATGCCTGTTTACTTTATAGTGCTGGGTCGGATGTTTCATTTTGAAATAAGATCGATAGCCATTCTTTTGTCCTGAAGCACAAACATTGTTTCGATATAAGCTTTAGAATTAATGAAATTGCATTTAAATTCCGAACAGCACTGACTTGAGCAGAACATATTCGTGGGTGCGATAAATTTAAAACTATTGTTTTAACAATGATAAACAATTATTCTAATAAGTGACTACAGGATTCGGTAACCCAGATTACGTTGAAGGTTGGTAGGTAGATTTAGAATAAATGATTTTCGGTAAATGCCTCCGTAGTCATAAAGTCCGGAAAATCAAGTCCCGCACTCGTAGTGGTAGGTGAATTTGAACTCAACGAAACTAAATATTGATGAATGCTGCTGTCGTAGAAGGCTTTTGCTACGTTCAGTGAATAAACGCAGACGTATCTGCCGTTTTTAGTTAAGCTTTTGGCAAACCTTTGTCTTCAGGTGGGTAGTGTTAATGATGTACCGCTCTGTCATTACCATCCTTAAAACTCATCAATAGTGCCGCCCTACTGGGAGCCCTTTGGGGACCGAAAACACTTCCTGTGGAAGTCCTGCACCACTGCAGCCGCATGCGAGGCAGAAAAGAAGCGCGCCGGTCGCGAATGCATGCGGGAGTGGTATATGGACTGGCGCTGCGTCGAGTGCTGCCAGGGCGAACTGTGCAATTATTATGCTACTGTAAGTTTTATGCATCTGGTCTCATAATCACCCACTCCAAGAGAAACTATTAAATGAAATTTACCTGTCTTTTATTACTAAACTGGGAAGTATCCTCTTGTTTATTGATGCACAAGATTAGCCATCCTTTGGAGGCCGCAGTTATATCCGCCCTGTTGAAAGTAACCTCTTACTAATGCTGTACCTTGACTAGTTCTATTTTTGTCTTTCAGCTAAAGTCGTCAAATTTGGTGGCATGTCTCCCGATCTCAGCAGTCACTGCCCTATTTGTACTTTTTCTAACAATGGTGAAAGAATGGCCCTAACTTATGCAAAACGTTATATCCTTTTTGATAAGCGATGTGTGAAAATAAAACTATGGTCCAAGTGCTTATACGTCAAGTTCTTTTAAAAACAGGACCGAGACCTGACGAAATGAATATGTATCGAGTACCTCAGATTATTTCTCAATAATCTTTTACCTGAGAAGCAACGCAACAGCATTTAGTTCACTGATTGTAAAGTTCGCTACTAAGGTTATTCAGCTCACAAATCCAAGCTGTCCGTTCCTGTTGGCCCGGTGGATAGCGAACACAACAGACAATAAAAATTAAAAATCGATTTCGTTTGCCCATACTTGATATAAAAATGGTCTAATAATAATCTACTGATGATCTAGGGCCCCACTTTACTTCTTGTGGATGCGTTAGGAGCATCCGTCCCTGGTATGGCTTGGGCCAAGTCTTCCCCAGTTAAACTTCCTCTCAACGAAATCTCCCTCAATCCTACTGGTGTTCTTAGGCAAATTGACGAAGCCTACATTGAACAACAACTGGCATCAACCTCCTTTTAGTCAACAACCAATTCAGAAAAAGGTTTTAGAAAATTAGAAATCCAATGCCGCGCACTATTTGACACCCCGCAGATGCTTAATCCGCTAATATTGATATTTGGGCAGTTTGGACGATAGACATTTGCCCTTTTCACTATCGCCGCAAAAAACCGTGTGAAAACAAACAGGACAAACGAAAGTCCGCCTCCATCCTGACCTTCAGGTAACCAATAGGAACAGAATTGAGGTGAGCTACCACAATAAACTGCAGGATCAACATTTGCATTTCAGGTTATTCAGAGGCTTTGAATAGTCGCAAACTGGTTGATAACGCAAAAAAACTCCTGTTCGTTCGTCAAAAATGGTGTTTGAAGATGGAGTGCAGCTCAGATTTCACTTTTCACACCTGTCGCTACAAAATTTCGCAAACTCGCTTAGTTTACCACTCCTACCATGACAGAAGTACTAAGAGAGTCGTGTGGTTGTCTTCATTTTCCAGCTACTCTGTTGGCAATGGGCCCGACATTTTTGTCTACTCTCATATTCACATCCTCTCCGCTGCCTCTTCAGGCCCACGGTAGTTCACAGAAGACCAACTTCAAAGTGCATTTGGAAGCTGCTACAAAATGGAACCGTTGCGGCGAGCTAAACCTACGGATATCTGCAGTTGAAGAACTGCTTCAGAAGATAGGACTACTCGAACTGGGTGTCATACAAAGACCGAAATAAGAGACAACATATTATGCGAATCGGTAAAAAAGACTGAAATAATATGCGCAGCCAAGGAAGATTGCGGGATGAAACTTTTCAACATGAGGTTGGAAAAATCGGCACTATAATAATTTGTGCGAATCTTTGACCTTAGGCATCAGTGCTCCTGGTGACGCCAAAGGCAACAGAGATAAAGTAATTCCAGAGATCACATCGTTCGGCTATACGGTACAACGAGTGCACTTTTATCCCCAATTAGACCCCAACTCGATTTAAAATGTAGTACTTTAATAAGGAGAACCTTGAGCCGTCAAAATACTACGTTCACACAATCAAAGGAACACTCTGGCCTTTAAATCATTCAATGAGTTCAAGGGTGACGCACTTGAGAGCCACAAAGTGGAAATGAAAAAAAATAATGCAAGTGAAAGAGGGAAGACAAATCAGCCCAAATGTCTGCATTCCTCTGACCTTGAAGAAATAAGTTTACGACCAACTGTAGCACTTTCATTTCACAGCTTCAAAAAATCAGGCGTTCAAGTATACAAGGCACAAAAGTAATTGATACTATAAACACAAATTAATAACCCACAGTAGGCATAATCCTAGTTTTACCAGAAACACCAGTAGCCAGACTGGAGGGCGAGTTGAAAAGGGACCGAAGGAGGTAGACTTGACCTACAGCAACAACAAGAATGACGATAACATGGATGAAGGAGCCCCAGGTGACGCGTTCATTCAGTGCTTCCACAAAACTACGCGAGGTGGCTTCCTGCAGACGCACTCTTGTCTGCGCCGCTGCGGCATTTTTGAGGTTCTCATGGATGGCGTACATTGTGCTATCCACCTAAAAATGAAAACGCACATCAATATTAGAAGGTTATTTTAACAATTCTGGAGTTAAACACCCTAATGTGGGGAATAAATGAACAAATAGACAGATTAATGGGAAATCACAAGACCCCGAAGGAACTAGTAAATCAAAGTTCATTGAGCATACGCATAGCCAGTACATGGAATGGGTAAAGATGAACAAACGTATGTATAGATGTAAAGACAGCTAATGAGTTAATGAACCAACCAAGCAGGAATGAGTTATTCAATTTTGATGAAATTGGCACGAATTATTGAAAAAAGTGCCCGAAATAAAGCGGAGTAGCATAAATATAAGGTCCTCAATTGGTCCACGGTTCTAGGAAATGACCTAGCTATGGCAAACCCAATGAGAAGAAACAGGGCACAGTAGCTGCATAAATAACAGCAAAGGCTAAAGTAGCTTTTAAAGGATGCAGAGAAGCTAGTTAGTTTATATTTTCTACTTCCAATTGAGTGAATAGACGAGCTCGTTGAGGTAACCAATAGACTGAAGAAAAGATGAAGGAGAAGCATATGCGAATCAGGCAGAGTAGCCAAAGGAAGTGAGAAGTGAGCAAACAGATGAAAAGAAAATGACAGTGTCAAAAAAACAAAGGGCAGTAAACGGTATCCAAATCAGCTGGAGAAAAGGAGGTTCAATAATAATTCTACAAGGTCGAAGACGGCCAAACGATCGGAATGCTTGTAGACGAAAAGATTAATAAACGCACGAAACACAAATGATAAATTGTGAAGGCATTGGTACACAGAATGTTAGCCCAAATCAGTCCTCTTGAGGGATGGAATAGCATTAATGTTGGAAGAGCATGAAAATTCCACCTAGCCACAGGTGCAGAGGCACATACTCAAAGGACCAAGAAACATATAGGGAATAAGTAAAGGACATACCATGGTTAGTGGTGCATCCCCAATCGGATTTGACTTCTCGGATTCCAACTCCCAATTCATATAAACTATCTTGTGAGTGACCGATGAGAACTCGTTACTAAAGCACAGCTGAAATCAATAACATATATCTTAACGATAGCATCGTCAAGAGAATACAAAGCAATTAGCGAGGCAGAGGACAAGGTAAAAAGACAGAATTTTACCTCATATTCGCCATCCACTTTGGCCGTATATTCGAAGAAATCGTACTGCTCGCGTTGAAGGACTTTAACAACATTTTTAAAGGGGTCTCGAAGTGTTACGTCAATATCAAAGTTCCCACCGGATGTAACCTAAGGAACGTACAAACAGATTATCAGTGATTCGAATTTTAACTATTGCGGTGCGGCCAAACATATGAGTGGAATAACAATAAGGTGTAGCAGAAGCTAAAGCATGCACTAAAGCATAACCAGCAAGCAGATACCTGAAATTCAACTGTGGTACCTTCATCCTTCTTAATAACAGCGTAGAAGCACCGAGTCTCACCATCTGGAAGCTCGAATGTAAATGATGACGAGCTGACAAGGCTTAAGAGATTCAACGATGCGATCGTAAAAAGCACGCACCGGATCATAGCAGCTCACGATACCAAAGACGATCCACGATAAGTTTATTGGTTAACCGAAATGCTTTGGTAACCCAAAGCACAAACAAAACAAATGGCCCAAAATTTGGCACATATGAATTTTATTTTTGGAAAGATAAAACCAGCTACGCACATAAACATATTAGAATTGTTAGTTTTATTAAAAGTTTTTATTGCGACACAACAGCGAAGTTTGCGAATTAAAATGATGGGTTTTGGAGTAAACCAGCCCAGCTTAGTGACTTTAGCACGTAAAGGTAAGCCTTAAACAACTACAATGCTGGCACCGGAACACAAAAATCCAACCTTTTTACGATCCTTATTCCTGCGTATACCATTGATGACAGTTCAGTGATTCAAATACCCTTAATTTATTCCCACAGGAGGCTTGATTATTGTAGTTGCATTTTGATGTACTCCATTTCCTTCTCCTGCATGCATGCTTATAACAACAGAGGCATCACCACCGCTGTAATGTTGTAATCAAAGTTGTATTGCAGAGGCAGGGCACAATGACTAACGTCGTACTGGAATCTCCACTTTTGGTACGATCATTCCTTTGCTTACATACCCCTGATCCCACCTTTCGGAGATGCCGAACAAAGTGTTTGCAAGTAAAGTGTCTCCTGGAGAAACGTCAAGGATAAGCCTCTAGCCGTGAACCCCACCCGTTTATTGATGCTAGGAATAACACCGTGCCGAATTTTTTCCCTTACAAGGCTTGTTTGATTCCGTCTCCTTTGTTAATTAACTGTCCTGGGCCAGTGTATCAACGTGTAGACCTCGACACGATTAGTAGTTAACATATTGTTTGGCTTTATGTTTTCTACCCTTGGTCTGAACTTAACTATGAATCCGGTTAAAGGTGCTGAGGATGTAGTCTTTCCTTCTCATGGTAGATGATGACTGGCCCGGCTGACATGCGAGGTTTATGAAGGTGGGAAGTTCGTAGAAGACTTCGTTTAAAGTAGGGAGGCAATGTAATGCTTCGCTTTCTAAGTTTCATCGTAAAGAAGCCTTAATAAAATCGTGAAGTGTCCTTTCAAATTTTGGTGTTGAATTGGTTTCTTGTCATTGGATTTCCAAGTCAATCAACTTCCTATTAGGGCGAAGAGGGTTTTCAGCAGGGATAAGTGCTTGCATTCAGAAGGAAGGGAAGAGATTTGGATTTGGGCAGTCCAGACAAACAAGACCAAGATGAACAATAAAGTGACAGCCAGTCATACAGGTTGCTAACTAAATGGCAATACTTTGTTTATTTGACTGTCTGTATGAATAGCGACCATTTGCTTTTGTCGTGTAAACTGATCTTTGGCAAGAGCTTAGCCTCAATTCTACCCATTCTGTCCAAATACAAGCTTCCGGGTATGCCTAATGCTTTCACCTGCCTTTTCGCAGCAGCAGCAGCAGCAGCAGCAGCAGCAGCA